CATATTCCTGGAAAATTTTCATTTCTTCTATAAATAATACGAATATTTATATAAATATTATTACATTAATTATGAGGCAGGGTGACCAATAGTGACAGATCTGCCAGCCAATCACGAGAGATTATACTTATTTGAAAGTAGTGATTTCATCCAATGGGGAGTAAGCTACCAATGGGGAGTAATCCCACGTGGGCTGGCCACGTGTGATTTTTCAGCCAATCACGAGTTTGAAAGTAGTGGTATCCACCAATGCTGAATAGCAGCCTGGCCAGCTGCTGCATTCATATGCTAATTAGGGCCATTAGCGCTCGGCCGGCTGCAGTGTTTTGCTGCATTCATATGCAAAGTAGGGACATTAGCATGGTACGGATACGGCAGTTTGGAGGACAGGGCACCCTAACTGCGCCTTTTGAAAACTGCCTGAGATACCCGAAAAAGAGCGTGATTTCCTGCCGTTTAGGGTGACGAAAATCTAACTTTTCATGCAGTGAGAACCAGTACATCAAAATAAAACCAGGTCAAAGTGATCGATGAGTCTAAACTATGACAGTTCAGCAGCCAGGAAACAGTGGATTTTGAGTCATTTTTATTTACTTACTCGCTCTTCCCCATTTCAGGCAAAAAAGGCAGGGTGCATATCTGATTTGAAGGGCAGTGGTAGAAACCTCTGAATTAGGGGCGTACCCATGATAATATAAGAGCCAGATTATACCTGCACGGCAGGGGTCGGACTACCAGATTAACATTGTTTGGATGATTGGATAAATATGAGGAAAATAATAATAATAATGATAATAGTGTATTCTAGCACTGTGTAAACTTTACTTTACAAATAAACATATCTTACATTATATAATAAATATAATATATATATAATGTTGAACAATCTGTGTTTGATTCTTTTGTTTTGCCTTGAATTGTTTTAGATGTAAACAGACTTCTATTTTTTAGGAATCCATAAATTGAATAGATTAACAGTAACAATTTACCTTCTTCTCAGAAGCTGCAATGAATACTTTTGTCCACTAGATGCCAGTGTTACAAGCTAGTCTGAGCACAGAGGCTACGACACATATGAGACAGTCAAAGCCTCAGTGCGTTAGGGGCTTCATCTGCCCATCATGAACGGGAGACTTTGAGTGTTGCATACTCTTAAAACTCTTTAAAGGCAAACTTTTACAACTACTGTAGGTGAAAGGCTCTGAAGCCAAAATTCATTCCTGCATTTTGGGTCCTCCCTTGTTTTTCACACAGAGCCACAGAGGAGCGTCAGCGATCATCAAAGATAGATTGGCTCGAACAGAATCTTATTTATAGGTATTTGACGCGACGCCACAGACATATTTCGGTGCCCGTGCCGATGCAGCTGCTCTTTATTCAAATACTCAGCCCATATATTTACAGCACACCCACAGTTATTTTCTAATCATATCTCCTGCTGTCTCTCGCACTCCCACTCACAACATGCATCTCCAAAATGACTCACTACTTACCAAACAAATTACCCGCGTTTATTTCACTGTAAGCTTCGCCCGGAGAGTAATGCGCCCATCCACTCTCTGTGAATATGCAAGACAAGGCAATTCATTTTCCTCTCCCGCTATTACATTATAGAGCCCCATTGCATTCTGGGAGGACGAGGCAGGGGGGGGGGTTTGGCAGTAGCTTGTGGCCTCGTTCGTTATGTCACTGTCACAGAAGACAAACAGGAGCGTCGTAAACATTGCAGATCATGGCCGAGATGGTGCTGGTCCTCTGGGACTCGGGGACTGGGGATATTCTGATACATGTGGCTATAAGAGGAACATGAAAGAAGGTTATTGTATGGCAGCCAATGAATTTTGCAGTGGTTTTGTCAGTGCGTCGTTCAGCTTTGAGATTGGATTTGAACTTTATAAGCCAGAGATGGGAGAAAATACAAGAGAGATGAGCGCATGTAGCGGTAATTTGACACATGGGGTTTGTAGGTATAAGGTTATTCAAAGACACTACAAAGAGATCTCTCAACACAAGACACACGTCGACATATGGCTCGGCAAATAGCTTCGCAGTTTGAGATACAAATGAGAGAGGAGAGAGAGGAGAGAAGAGAGAGGAGAGAGAGCCCTAATCACATGACCCTCCACGCTCCTGCAAAAATATTTCTTATTTTCTGATGTTGCGAAAATTGCAGAACTACACCAACAAACATCGATGAATTTAATATTATTTTTATTTAATTTTTTTCCATGTTTATGTGATGCAGTGGGGTTGGGGGGGGGGCTCCATAGGTCTCTCACACCATGAGACCTATGGAGCCAGATCATACTGTGTTTCAGTCTCAGGGATTCAGGTGTGTTCACAAAGTGCCTGTCATGACACCAAAGTTCTAGTGGCGCGCTCAAACATTTCATGCAACACGTCTCATTAACCATTCATTCACAAACACGGTGGTGGTGAGCTCACACAAGCGGGTGAAGTGTCTTGCCTAAGGACACAACGACAGCTTACAGTCGTCCCACGGTAGCACCTGGTGTTCCCAGTAGTCTCCTACCCCAGCGGTACCCAAACAATAACAAAAGCATAGGATTCATTGGTCCATAAGAATCAGGATCAACACTGTTTAAAATGTTTACAAATGTCCTGGATCATCATTTAGATCCTTAGACCCTCCTGCTTCAGAGACTCAGTGGGGAAAACTGAGGCTGTAGACCCAGGACTGAGGCTGTGGATCCAGGACTGAGGCTGTAGATCCAGGACTGAGGCTGTAGACCCAGGACTGAGGCTGTAGATCCAGGACTGAGGCTGTAGATCCAGGACTGAGGCTGTAGATCCAGGACTGAGGCTGTAGATCCAGGACTGAGGCTGTAGATCCAGGACTGAGGCTGTAGATCCAGGACTGAGGCTGTAGATCCAGGACTGAGGCTGTAGAATCCAGGACTGAGGCTGTAGATCCAGGACTGAGGCTGTAGATCCAGGACTGAGACTGTAGATCCAGGACTGAGGCTGTAGATCCAGGCCTGAGGCTGTAGACCCAGGACTGAGGCTGTGGATCCAGGACTGAGGCTGTAGACCCAGGACTGAGGCTGTGGATCCAGGACTGAGACTGTAGATCCAGGACTGAGGCTGTAGATCCAGGACTGAGGCTGTAGCAGTCATAATGATGAGGATAGTGTCTTGTAGCAGAATGGTGGTCGACTTCCATCACAGAAGTGGTTTTGGGCCATTGCTTGTATTTGGAAAATACTAATAACAACAGTCTCTGGCCTCTCATGAGGACCATCGAGACTCAGAAACACTCAGATGACACGGAGAGGAAATTGCCCGATACTTGAGCGAACACTGGAGAAGTCCTGATTAAATCCAGTCTGTGAGAACCTCAGGCCCAAAGGCAGCAGATTAAAGTGTATTTCTGTGCCTCTTCTGAGACAAGTGCAGACTTCATCAATGTTACAAGTGACGTTCCGGTCGGTCTGAAGACTCTCAGCAACAACACACAATCAAAATTATAATCAATACACAACAGGTCTCAGCAGCAGGAAAACAGACAGATATTCAATTCAATGTATTTGTGTTTCGCCCCAATCACAACAGAGAAAAGACAAATCCAATTATAACAAACACATAGGAGCACAGATCTCTCTCTGGTCTCTCTCTGGTCTCTCTCTGGTCTCTCTCTGGTCTCTCGCTAGTGTCTCTCTGGTCTCACTCTGGTCTCTCTCTGGTCTCTCTGTCTAGTCTCTCTCTGGTCTCTCTCTGGTTTCTCTCTGGTCTCTCTCGCTAGTCTCTCTGTCTAATCTCTCTCTGGTCTCACTCTGGTCTCACTCTGGTCTCTCTCTGGTCTCTCTGTCTAGTCTCTCTCTGGTCTCACTCTGGTCTCTCTCGCTAGTCTCTCTCTGGTCTCACTCTGGTCTCTCTCTGGTCTCTCTCGCTAGTCTCTCTCTGGTCTCACTCCGGTCTCACTCTGGTCTCTCTCTGGTCTCACTCTGGTCTCTCTCTGGTCTCTGTCTAATCTCTCTCTGGTCTCTCTCTGGTCACTCGCAAGTCTCTCTCTCTGGTCTCACTCGGGTCTCACTCTGGTCTCACTCTGGTCTCTCTCTGGTCTCTCTGTCTAGTCTGTCTCTGGTCTCACTCTGGTCTCTCTCGCTAGTCTCTCTCTGGTCTCACTCTGGTCTCTCTCTGGTCTCTCGCTGGTCTCTCTCCTGTCTCACTCTGGTCTCTCTCTGGTCTGTCTGTCTAATCTCTCTCTGGTCTCACTCTGGTCTCTCTCGCTAGTCTCTCTCTGGTCTCACTCTGGTCTCTCTCGCTAGTCTCTCTCTGGTCTCACTCCGGTCTCACTCTGGTCTCTCTCTGGTCTCTCCGTCTAATCTCTCTCTGGTCTCACTCTGGTCTCTCTCTGGTCACTCGCTATAGTCTCTCTCTCTGGTCTCACTCTGGTCTCACTCTGGTCTCTCTCTGAGCCCCATTTCAGTACATAGTGTAACGTTTATAAAAATCCCTCTGCAGATCTCTGGATCACACTGCTCGCTCTGCTGTGATATAAAATACTTAACACAATTAAGTCTGAGAAAAACATTGGAAATGAGGTCCAGCCCCCGACAGCCGGCCGATATTCCCTGTGGCTCTCAGGAGGAAAAGTTTGCCCATGCCCGATCTTAGACCCTCCTGCACCCCAGACGAATCACTCAGAAACCAGGTAGAAAGAATGTGAGAAACCTCAGGGAGACTCATGTTGAGAGAGTTTGGCATTTCCTGTGTTCAAACTGTTTCATTCTCTGATCTTTGCTCGGCGAATCCACAGCTCTGCAAAGTCCTCCGGGACGACTGCTGTTGTGATTAAGGGCAATGCACAAATACACATGCAGGAAGATTGGATGTGAGCAGTGAGTAATCAGAGCTAAATGACTGTGATAATCCGACCTGTATTCACTCATTCATCACATTCATGCAGTGACGAATGCAGAGGCTGGGACTCTGCACTGACAGGTTTACGCTCCTGCTAACGACTGCACTCTGGAAATATGAGGCCCGGAGCTGAACGAGCAAAGCAGCATCTCAACGTGGACGAGCCGAGGTTGTCGTGTGACCGGAAAAGGCCGGCGCCGTTTAAGAGGCGGCAGAAGTCACCCACGGGGCAGGAGCTGGTGCTGGTTTCTACGGCGATCAGGGTTAGGGTTCCTAGTTCAGTGCTTCAAAGGTTTTAGACTACATCTATTCTGCACATATTGCACTAGCTTGCATGATTATACATTATGTATCTCTCTCACTCTCTTTGGTCTCGCTCTGGTCTCTTTCTCTCTCTCTCTCACTCTCTCTTTGGTCTCGCTCTCGTCTCTCTCTCTGGTCTTTCTGGTCTCTCTCTGATACTTCTCTCGGGTCAACCACACTATCCTCCTGGTCTCTTTCTCTCTCTCTCTCTCTCTCTCTTTGGTCTCGCTCTGGTCTCTCTCTCTTTTGTCTCGCTCTTGTCTCCCTCTCTGGACACTGACGCTTAGCTCTCTGCTCTGTCTCTCTCTCCTTGGTCTTGATCCGGTCTTTCTCTCTCTTCGGTCTCGCTCGTGTCTCTCTCTGTTTTTTCTGTTGTCTCTATGATCTTTCTCTCTGGTCCCTCTTTCTCTCTCTCTCTCTCTCTCTCTTTGGTCTCACTATGGTCCCTCTTTCTCTTTGGTCTTGCTCTAGTCTCGCTCTCCGGACACTCACGCTATCTCTCTGGTCTCTCTCTCTCTTTCTTTCTCTCTTTGGTCTTGATCTGGTCCTTCTCTCTCTTTGGTCTCGCTCCGGTCTCTCTCTCTCTTTGGTCACGCTCTGGTCGCTCTCTCTCTTTGCTCTCACATCTAAATAACAGACGCGTTGGTGATAGTTCCACTGCAGTAGTGTGATCACAACATCACCAGAGTGTGACATCACCAGAGTGTGACATCACCAGAGTGTTGGCATTAATGCGGAAGAAGCCGATTTGAACATCAGCTGGAGCCAATTTCCTTATATGGGCATAGCTTCGCACAGTAACAGGGGCAGATAAGGCCCTCATCTTTTTTCTTTCTGATCGCTCTCTTCCTGGTGTTTCTCTCTGGTCTCTCTCTGGTCTCTCTCTCTCTCTCTCGCACTCACTCTCTTCATCTACCTGGTCTTTCGTTCTGGTCTCTTTCTCGGTCTGGTCTATCTCGGTCTGGTCTTTCTCTCTAGTCTCTTTCTGGTCTCTCTCTAGCCTCTCTCTGGTCTCTCTCTCTCTTCGTCTCTTTGGTCTCTATTGTGCTCTCTCTTTCTCTGTCTGGTCTCTCTCTCTCTCTCTTCTTCTCTCTTGTGTCGCTCTCTTTCTCTGTCTGGTCTCTTCCTCTCTCTCTCTCTCCCAGCCCTATATGCATTGGGGGATTTAGTTATAAATTGTAAAACATTTATTGACAAATGAAAGTTCCAAGCATTAATTATAATCAGTCACTGACCCAGGCCTCAGCGCTTATAAAACCATCAACAAATAAACAAATCACTCTCCACACGCCGCTCTCTCCATCATAGATTTTATTGGCTGAATGTGCAATAACGAGGATGACGCGGGCAGATAATAAAAAGGGCCCTGATTGGAAAAAGGCAATTTACACCAGCATTAAGTCACTTAGACATGCAGCGGCTGGGCTCCGCTCCAGCCTCTGAGCCATCACACCCAGACTCACTCTCGGATCGATAGTTCAGGAAAGTCTGTCGGAATCTCACGCTTTAATCTACGAGAAACGACCCCAGCGCCGAACCCCGCAGTTCTGTTCTCACGTGTAACTGAGAAAATGTTACTTTTTCTACAGTTTATTTTAATGGATTGCTTTGAATTTAGACTTTGCCTGTATTTCTTTCTTACGTCTCTCTTTCTTAATCGCTCTCTTTCTCACTCTGGTTCTCTCTTTCTCCCTATCTCTGTGTTGTCTGTCTGATCTCAATCTCTCTGGTCTCTCTCCGGTTTCTTTTCCCCCTTCTCTGCTCTGTTTCTGGTCTCTCTCTGGTCTGTCTCTCTCCAATCCCTCTTTCTGGTCTCTCTCTGGTCTCTCTGGTCTGTCTCTCTCCAATCCCTCTTTCTGGTCTCTCTCTGGTCTCTCTGGTCTGTCTCTTTCCAATCCCTCTTTCTGGTCTCTCTCTGGTCTGTCTCTTTCCAATCCCTCTTTCTGGTCTCTCTCTGGTCTGTCTCTCTCCAATCCCTCTTTCTGGTCTCTCTCTGGTCTCTCTGGTCTGTCTCTCTCCAATCCCTCTTTCTGGTCTCTCTCTGGTCTGTCTCTTTCCAATCCCTCTTTCTGGTCTCTCTCTGGTCTCTCTGGTCTGTCTCTCTCCAATCCCTCTTTCTGGTCTCTCTCTGGTCTCTCTGGTCTGTCTCTTTCCAATCCCTCTTTCTGGTCTCTCTCTGGTCTGTCTCTTTCCAATCCCTCTTTCTGGTCTCTCTCTGGTCTGTCTCTCTCCAATCCCTCTTTCTGGTCTCTCTCTGGTCTCTCTGGTCTGTCTCTCTCCAATCCCTCTTTCTGGTCTCTCTCTGGTCTCTCTGGTCTGTCTCTCTCCAATCCCTCTTTCTGGTCTCTCTCTGGTCTCTCTGGTCTGTCTCTTTCCAATCCCTCTTTCTGGTCTCTCTCTGGTCTGTCTCTTTCCAATCCCTCTTTCTGGTCTCTCTCTGGTCTGTCTCTCTCCAATCCCTCTTTCTGGTCTCTCTCTGGTCTCTCTGGTCTGTCTCTCTCCAATCCCTCTTTCTGGTCTCTCTCTGGTCTCTCTGGTCTGTCTCTCTCCAATCCCTCTTTCTGGTCTCTCTCTGGTCTCTCTCTGGTCTCTCTCCAATCCCTCTTTCTGGTCTCTCTCTGGTCTCTCTGGTCTGTCTCTCTCAATCCCTCTTTCTGGTCTCTCTCTGGTCTCTCTGGTCTGTCTCTCTCCAATCCCTCTTTCTGGTCTCTCTCTGGTCTCTCTGGTCTGTCTCTCTCCAATCCCTCTTTCTGGTCTCTCTCTGGTCTGTCTCTCTCCAATCCCTCTTTCTGGTCTCTCTCTGGTCTCTCTAGTCTGTCTCTCTCCAATCCCTCTTTCTGGTCTCTCTCTGGTCTCTCTAGTCTTTCTGGTCTCTACATATATAACTGTATATATAGACATACCTTTTTATGCCTTTATTGTGAAGCATTCGTAGCTGCTTATCTCTGTATATGTTGTGAGCTCCTTGTGTATTGTGTAGAATCAGAATTCTTTTATTGCCATGTGAGTAACAAGAAGTCACAAACTCGGAAATTGCTTTGGCTCTCGGTGCAAACAAATTATAAAGTAGAGAATATAATCCGGCATGCATTACTACCTTGTACCTGTTTTGGTTTCATTTCAATATCCTACATGATTGTACATTTCCCCGCCGTGGGACGAAAAAGGATCCTCTTACCTTCTCTGTTCTTAAATGAGACATTTTGGCAGTTTTCTCGGGAACCTCCACAGAGTTTGACGTGAATAAATTATTCAGGACATTGTAAATCTTCGAGCTGCTGCATGTTCCACTGTTGAGTTAATGTTATAGAAACAGAAATATGTTCCTCTCATACGTGAAGGTTATGTATCCGTCGTTAGCTGAGGTTAATCAGTATGCAGCCGTTACGCCGTGCTGCAGAAGTAATGTCTGAAAAAGTATTATAGGTTAAAGCCAATCCCACCTCTGCTCGATGACTGTGGGGAATATTCACACAGCGTGATCTAAAGCAGGGCTCCTTGACTTATTCATGCCCGGTGAAAATTTAATGCCCTTTAGAGGCGGGCGACCTAATGAGAGAGTTCAGCCTAGTGGAACAGCAGTACAGCACCGCGCCGTGAAGAATCAGACACAAAATGGCCGCCCGTGGTTTAATCGCTGAGCCGGTCGCACAGCCGCTGCCAAGTTCAGCTGCCAATGTTTGACCCTCAGAGGAATCGCTATCAGTCTGCGCACAGAGTCCAGTTTGGGGAAGTTCAAGGACTTTGTGATGGATTTCAATGTGAGGCTTTGGGCGGAAAATTGTGATGTTCTGGTCTGGTTTGGACACAAGTTGACTTTGACCAGAATCCAAGTTATACACAGGCTCTAGCACTGGGCGCCCTAACTCTCTAGTAAGAGGGCCACTTTAGTCCACCAGAAGTGTCTTCCTGATCTCTCTGGTCTCTGTCTCTGCTCTATCGTTCTGCTTTTTCTCTTTGGTTTATCTTACTGGTCTCTCTCTCTCCTCGGTCTTCCTTGCTCTCTCTCTGGTCATATTGGTCTCTCTCTCTCTCTCTCTCTTGGGTCTATCTCCTATCTCTTGTTTCTTTCTGATCTTTCTCTGGTCTCTCTCTGTCTGGTCTATCTCTTTCTGGTCTATCTCTGGTCTCTTTCCGGTCACTCTCTCTGGTCTCCCTTGCTCTCTCTCTCTCTCTTATCTCTCTCTCTCTGGTCTTGCTGATCTTTCTCTGGTCTCTCTCTGGTCTCTCTCTGGTCTCTCTCTGGTCTCTCTCTCTGATCTTTCTCTGGTCTTTCTCTGGTCTCTCTCTGGTCTCTCTCTGGTCCCTTTACACGAATGATAATATTGTTATGAAGTTGTTTCAAATAAAAAATTTAAATGAAAGCAGAGGTTCAGACAGAAAGACTGCAAACTCTACGCATCTGTCCATCACACACTTGAAAGTATTCAATCACTTCCTACATCCAGCTGTCATTATGTGCAGAAAGCCTTCAATCATACAACAACCCTCCTCCTCCCCCACCACTAGCTTGGGGTGATTTCTTCTCATAATTTCTATTTTAATTTCCCCTTCTGCATTTGTCACGGTGCCCTTTATTGTCTATATTGCGATATACACGTGTTCGATATCAATAGAAAACGGGGTCGATAGAATGTTCGGTAGTTTAACTTCGCTCCGTTAGTAAAAAACAGGCAGAAAACACGGGAAGTTAAGCCGAGTCAGAAGCGCGCTGCATTCTGGGGGATGTAAGCATAGACTTCTCGACCTATCACAGCCTAACCCAACCAAACCTGCACCATGCGTAGCGTCCATGGATCTACGGATCGTGTTTTAATGCCGTGTCAATAGTTAAACACGTCCGTGCGAGGAACAGCATGTGCGGCGCGGTAGAGACAGTGGGTAGAGACACGATGCATTCGGCGAAAGCAAGTGATTAACTTTTTCCTCGGGAAGCACCGCCGTATCGGGGACACAAGACACTCGAAAACAGCCAAAACAAGAGCTAAACCAGGACTAAACCAGGACTAAACCAGGACTAAACCAGGACTAAACCAGGACTAAACCAGGACTAAACCAGGACTAAACCAGGAGACACAGTGTGAACCTATTCCTCTAGCCTCATTCCCCCGTGACTGTAAACAAGTCACAACAAATGTATTTATTTAGGTTCTAATAAAGAAAATTAATAAAAATTAATATATATTGTTATTGATCAAGGCTATGCTCACACTCAGAGAGCAGCCGTCCTCCTGTGGACTCACCACCTGCAGAGGGTCAGTGAGGGGCTGGTGCTATGAGACTTGGGTGGCATCTCTGACTGCCACCCCCCTGACCCAGAAATGGATTAAAGGGTAGAAAATGGATGGATGGATGGATATATTGTTATTGATTGATATGAATTACTTATATTGTGATATAGTTTTCAGCCATATCGCCCAGCCCTACCCTTGAGTATCTCTAGATTGAACCCAGAGCTTTGTCCAGTCTCTATTGTAGCAGCAGCTGTGATGCGTGTAGGACCAGAGGTAAAAACTGTGTTTGGGGCCAGCGGCAGCCAGAGCCCTGTCACCTGCAGTCTTCAGACCAGACTGGACTCCTGACCTCAGTGATCCCACAGGGAGACATGAAGGAAACAGCCCTGTCAAATATTCAAGAGCCGAGCCGTTTAAACATAAAAAACAAGCATCAGAATCTTCAAATCGATCGTGGACGTGACAGGAGCCAATAAAGTGAAGCGGTGTCTCTCTCGGTGCTGACAGATGGACAGCAGCTGAGGGCACTTAGCGAGGTTTGTGCCGACCACAGTGAACCAGGGGCAGTCATCAAACCTGGAAGGAATAAGCCTTTACTTTGTTTAAAAATCTGAGTCGGTAAAAAGTGGATAATTGCATTGATTTGCTTGTGAGGACTTAAGAGAACAGTGGGACTAGCGCATCCTTCTGGTCAGCACGGGAACTTTAGCTAAAAAGGGGGGTTTATGATAGACCATAGACAATCTGTGGCCGTACTTGCATGTCAAAGCCAGATCCCGTCAGACCTCTGAAGCTAAGCAGGACAGTACCTGGTTAGTACTGTGATGGGAGACCTCTGACAACAGGTGCCACAGGGGGGAGGCTGTTGTTGTTGTGTCATTTGATATTTGGAGCCGAATCAGAACGGATTACTTTACTATCGCATTCGCCGCCGTCGCCAAACTACAGCCCAGAAATTTGGCGCAAACTCTTGACGTCACCGACACTGACCTTCAACACCCGACTTCCCTGCTCGCTGATTGGTCGGAGGCTATTCAACCGAGGAAACTGCAGCCACTAGGATCAGACCCAGACGTACATGTAGGAGATTATAATAAACTGGATGTTTAAAGAAGCTATACCCGATTTTTTTCTAATGAGTTCATAAAAATGCGTGTTACTACATACATGTTGTATCTTAATCCGTAATTTAATTGAAAACTTGAGCTCATTGATTCAACTGTGTATGAATTCAGGCGTAAAAAGTGCTGAGTAGAGACTTAGCGTGACGCCCGCTCTCCTCCAATCACAGAACGAGGCTGCGTCCTCTAGCCTCTACAGCGCTGCTAAACACAGTAGCATGTTAGCATAAGTGGCTATAACTCCTCTGGCTGTAACTGCAGACACAGCAAAACAGCCCAAACCACACAACAGTGAGGAAGAGAAGAGGGAACTAAAGCCAAAACATGATCCAAGAAGAAATCAAGCCCTGATCAGAGCTAGCTTACATCGTATCCTCTGGAGAGACTGGTCTATGGGAGACCTGCGGGACCGCCTCGGACTATCTATGCTCGGACTATCTATGCTCGGACTATCTGCTCGGACTATCTACGCTCGGACTATCTACGCTCGGACTATCTACGCTCGGACTATCTACGCTCGAACTACATTCGGACGCGGAACTAGCAGTAATCTTTCAGTTATATATTGTGTTAGCAGTGCGTTGCTTTTGTACCATTTCATCAGTGATTGTTGTTCAGCTTAAGTTCCGCTCATGCTAATGTTGGCATCAGATCGCAAATAAAACTAGATGGCTCCGTGGAATGAGAGCGTATGGGAAATGAGAAGCCTGTGAGCGAGTTGGGGGGCGGGGCTAAACATTCAAACCTTACAAAAACGGGTATAGCTCCTTTAAAACCAGGCTAGTCCTGACTTAGTGACGTGGTCCTTGCCCTCTTTATTTCAGCTTTACAGGCTCAATTACCACCCACAAAATGACTCTAAATCACTTATAACAGCTGGATACAGGACCTGGATCTCTTTATGCTTAGTTCAATGGAGGGCAGTTATTCACAAATAATTCTATTCAAATGCGGGCGTGCTGAGGTTTGGCTTTGACTTTGCAGAAACAGATCCTCGGCTCTGGACTCATTCACAAAGAGCAAAGTCATTAGCGTGATTTTAAAATGACGTCTTTCACTAATGTGTTGAAAGGATTAACCTCTGCTGCTTTTCACGCACTGTTTAGACGTGTGTTTGACAGTCGTTTCAAAACTAATTATGTGGTAAATGAAACAGGGCTAAGAATAGACGGAAAACTAAACCGGCGGAGAGCGGAGCAGGTTTATTGGTCTGTTTTGGTTGTTTTTGGTTAAGACTTCTGTTGCTTTGAAATGATAACACAAACATTCAATTCCATGTATTTGAGTATCGACCACAACAGCAGTCGTCTCTGAGGACTTACAGAGACTACAATGTTGCAGATTCCTCAACATCAGATCAGAGAATCAAACCGAAATGTAATGATAACAAACACATCAGAGCCATAGGTCCATTTGGGACGGGATGAACACTCGAAATGTCCTGCATCAGCAAGGAACCAGGACTGAGGCTGTAGATCCAGGACTGAGGCTGTAGATCCAGGACTGAGGCTGTAGATCCAGGACTGAGGCTGTAGATACAGGACTGAGGCTGTAGAACCAGGACTGAGGCTGTAGATCCAGGACTGAGGCTGTAGATCCTCGTCTCAGGCTGTAGATCCAGGACTGAGGCTGTAGATCCAGGACTGAGGCTGTAGATCCAGGACTGAGGCTGTGGAATCCAGGTCTGAGGCTGTAGTTCCAGGACTGAGGCTGTGGACCCAGGACTGAAGCTATAGATCCAGGACTGAGGCTGTGGAATCCCGGTCTACGGCTATAGATTCAGGACTGAGGCTTTAGATCCAAGACTGAGGCTGTAGATCCAGGTCTGAGGCTGTAGATCCAGGTCTGAGGCTGTAGATCCAGGTCTGAGGCTGTAGATCCAGGTCTGAGGCTGTAGATCCAGGACTGAGGCTGTAGATCCAGGACTGAGGCTGTAGATCCAGGACTGAGGCTGTAGATCCAGGACTGGGGCTGTAGATCCAGGACTGAGGCTGTAGATCCAGGACTGAGGCTGTAGATCCAGGACTGAGGCTGTAGATCCTCGTCTCAGGCTGTAGATCCAGGACTGAGGCTGTAGATCCAGGACTGAGGCTTTAGATCCAGGACTGAGGCTGTAGATCCAGGATTGAGGCTGTAGATCCAGGACTGAGGCTGTAGATCCAGGACTGAGGCTGTAGATCCAGGACTGAGGCTGTAGATCCAAGACTGAGGCTGTAGATCCAGGTCTGAGGCTGTAGTTCCAGGTCTGAGGCTGTAGATCCAGGACTGAGGCTGTAGATCCAGGACTGAGGCTTTAGATCGAGGACTGAGGCTGTAGATCGAGGACTGAGGCTGTAGATCGAGGACTGAGGCTGTAGATCCAGGACTGAGGCTGTAGATCCAGGACTGAGGCTGTAGATCCAGGACTGAGGCTGTAGATCCAGGACTGAGGCTGTAGTTCCAGGTCTGAGGCTGTAGATCCAGGACTGAGGCTGTAGATCCAGGACTGAGGCTTTAGATCCAGGACTGAGGCTGTAGATCCAGGACTGAGGCTGTAGATCCAGGACTGAGGCTGTAGATCCAGGACTGAGGCTGTAGATCCAGGACTGAGGCTGTAGATCCAGGACTGAGGCTGTAGATCCAGGACTGAGGCTGTAGTTCCAGGTCTGAGGCTGTAGATCCAGGACTGAGGCTGTAGATCCAGGACTGAGGCTTTAGATCCAGGACTGAGGCTGTAGATCCAGGACTGAGGCTGTAGATCCAGGACTGAGGCTGTAGATCCAGGACTGAGGCTGTAGATCCAGGACTGAGGCTGTAGATCCAGGACTGAGGCTGTAGATCCAGGACTGAGGCTGTAGATCCAGGACTGAGGCTGTAGATCCAGGACTGAGGCTGTAGATCCAGGTCTGAGGCTCTAGTTCCAGGACTGAGGCTGTGGACCCAGGACTGAAGCTATAGATCCAGGACTGAGGCTGTGGAATCCCGGTCTACGGCTATAGATCCAGGACTGAGGCTTTAGATCCAAGACTGAGGCTGTAGATCCAGGTCTGAGGCTGTAGATCCAGGTCTGAGGCTGTAGTTCCAGGTCTGAGGCTGTAGTTCCAGGTCTGAGGCTGTAGATCCAGGACTGAGGCTGTAGATCCAGGACTGAGGCTTTAGATCCAGGACTGAGGCTGTAGACCCAGGACTGAGGCTGTAGATCCAGGACTGAGGCTGTAGATCCAGGACTGAGGCTGTAGATCCTCGTCTCAGGCTGTAGATTATCTGATTCTCTGCTCACACAAACACAGTGTAGAGTGATACTGGGGATCCTCAGAACAATGGCACCTTGAATTCCGCTGAAGACAAATCTCACAAACACACATGAATCAGACACGTCACCTTTAAAGCACATATTTTGTTATGGTCTTCACGTGGGCAGAGAGTGACCTATAAACCGCTGTGACAAATGACGCCAGATACATGAAGCGTGACCTCTGTAGCGAGTGTGACCCCCGGTGGTCTCGGGCTGAGGCAGAGGAGGCGGGGATTGGGATAGACCACCTGCTCCTTCCAAAATCACACAGACACACAGAGGCGGGGGGCAGCAGGTGCAACTTCTGCCTCTCTCCTCTGCACCAGGACTAGACCCGAGACCGAATGAGTCCAATAGTGACCTACTTTTGTACTCCCATTTCTGCTTTTACCTCGATACAAGAGTCATGTCTGAGGGGGTGGGGGTCAGGTGGTACTAGAGGGGGAGAAGCTTCTTAAATTGACTTTATCACAAGTATAATTGGATAAATGCTAGCTTCTTTAGCCGCTGTCCCATGTTATGAAGATGGATAGATACTTCATTGATTAGTGTCCGGGGTCAAAAACACAGCCATCCATACAAACACATTAATACATAGATTCTAAAGGTTTGTATCTAACTAAAAATAGTACAATTTTAAAGACTAGCATCTCCATAAAGAGGTGGAGGTGCTAACATTGTTAAGCCTAAGCTACTGAAGCTTCTGGTTGATACGTCCAATTATGGATGTTTTTTTGTTTTCTTCAATGAAATGCAGCTTTAACGTTTACAAATTCATGGTGCAATGTTATTAGCTACTTGTTTTAAATCCATAATAATGTTTTGTGGGTTCAAGGGTCAAATGCCACATACCTGAATGTCTATATGTATCGTTGACGTTTTTTCTGCTAATAAAAAAAAGAACACATAGAAGAAATAAACAAATGCAAATGTTATGTTATATATTTGTCAGTGTCATCATTCATGCTTTCATCAAGTACGTATGACTACTCTGATCCTGTCAAATATATGAATAAATACATTCAAAATATAATGAAAGATTCTCAATATTATCTAAAATCACATCTAAAATCATCACCTGTTGGCTCTTAACGGTCCTCATTAAGGTCCACATTATGATTCATGGTGTGTGCCTTGGACCCAGCTCTGGACCTAGCTCCGGAGCCATCTCTGAAACAAGCTCTGGACCCAGCTCTGGACCCAGCTCTGGACCCAGCTCTAGACCCAGCTCTGGACTCAGCTCTGGAACCATCTCCACATGGGACAAATCCACCAAATAAACGTTACAGAAGCTTAAACCAGAGCAGTGCCTCTCTGTGCCCCGGTCCCCATGCTGCTCCTGTTGGTCCCCACGCTGCTCCTGTTGGTCCCCACGCTGCTCCTGTTGGTCCCCACGCTGCTCCTGTTGGTCCCCACGCTGCTCCTGTTGGTCCCCATGCTGCTCCTGTTGGTCCCCATGCTGCTGCTGTTGGTCCCCACGCTGCTGCTGTTGGTCCCCATGCTGCTCCTGTTGGTCCCCATGCTGCTCCAATTGGTCCCCACGCTGCTCCTGTTGGTCCCCACGCTGCTCCTGTTGGTCCCCATAATGCTCCTGTTGGTCCCCACGCTGCTCCTGTTGGTCCCCATGCTGCTGCTGTTGGTCCCCATGCTGCTCCTGTTGGTCCCCATGCTGCTGCTGTTGGTCCCCATGCTACTCCTGTTGGTCCCCATGCTACTCCTGTTGGTCCCCATGCTGCTCCTGTTGGTCCCCATGCTGCTGCTGTTGGTCCCCAAGCTGCTCCTGTTGGTCCCCACGCTGCTCCTGTTGGTCCCCATGCTGCTGCTGTTGGTCCCCACGCTGCTGCTGTTGGTCCCCATGCTGCTCCTGTTGGTCCCCATGCTGCTCCAATTGGTCCCCACGCTGCTCCTGTTGGTCCCCACGCTGCTCCTGTTGGTCCCCATAATGCTCCTGTTGGTCCCCACGCTGCTCTTGTTGGTCCCCATGCTGCTGCTGTTGGTCCCCATGCTGCTCCTGTTGGTCCCCATGCTGCTGCTGTTGATCCCCACGCTGCTGCTGTTGGTCCCCATGCTACTCCTGTTGGTCCCCATGCTACTCCTGTTGGTCCCCCATGCTGCTCCTGTTGGTCCCCACGCTGCTCCTGTTGGTCCCCACGCTGCTCCTGTTGGTCCCCACGCTGCTCCTGTTGGTCCCCATGATGCTGCTGTTGGTCCCCACGCTGCTCCTGTTGGTCCCCACGCTGCTGCTGTTGGTCCCCATGTTGCTGCTTTGGTCCCCACGCTGCTCCTGTTGGTCCCCATGCTGCTGCTGTTGGTGCCCATGCTGCTGCTGTTGGTCCCCATGCTGCTCCTGTTGGTCCCCAAGCTGCTCCTGTTGGTCCCCATGCTGCTCCTGTTGGTCCCCATGCTGCTCCTGTTGGTCCCCATGCTACTCCTGTTGGTCCCCATGCTGCTCCTGTTGGTCCCCACGCTGCTCCTGTTGGTCCCCACGCTGCTCCTGTTGGTCCCCACGCTGCTCCTGTTGGTCCCCATGATGCTGCTGTTGGTCCCCACGCTGCTCCTGTTGGTCCCCACGCTGCTGCTGTTGGTCCCCATATTGCTGCTGTTGGTCCCCACGCTGCTCCTGTTGGTCCCCATGCTGCTGCTGTTGGTGCCCATGCTGCTGCTGTTGGTCCCCATGCTGCTCCTGTTGGTCCCCATGCTGCTCCTGTTGGTCCCCATGCTGCTCCTGTTGGTCCCCATGCTGCTCCTGTTGGTCCCCATGCTGCTGCTGTTGGTCCCCATGCTGCTGCTGTTGATCCCCACGCTGCTCCTGTTGGTCCCCATGCTGCTCCAATTGGTCCCCACGCTGCTGCTGTTGGTCCCCATGCTGCTCCTGTTGGTCCCCATGCCGCTGCTGTTGTCTCTGCTCTGATTGGTATTGATCTGCTCTGTCAGACTGGAGAATAATAGCTACTGACCATTTTGTCTGTTAATCTCCTGTCTGGCTGACAAACATGGAATCACATTTAGCGTGTTGTTGACGTGTTCAAAAAGAGTTCAAAGATCCGAGGAGTACAGGGAGAGAATTGGTGTCATGGTTGTAGGTAATATTATATATGTTCAGGTCATATATAAATGACCAGGGTTTGTTTTTTCTCTGACCATGCAAATGATGCTAATGATGAACTTCTGCCACAAATCAGAAATTATGTGCGCAACTATTTATGTACTGATTTATTTGATATGCACAAGTGTGGACAATCAACTGAAATTGTGAAAGTGAAAATTCCAGTGAGGGACGAATAAAGGTCTATCTTATCTTAAATATTCTTTCAATTGGCAACTGTTTTTTGGCGTGTTTCTGTCATTTCTACTGAGCCGGGTTATGACACAGACAAATCCAGCTGGGACCATAACATCTGAATAGACAAGGGTTTTGTCAACAACAAATCTATAACCAACACCTTTTTCACAAAGATAGAAATCCTAGTTTTATTCTTTGTTTTGTCGTTAAGAATCATAACGAGACCCTTTTTTAGTTCTGCGGCCACCTGGTACTTTACCAGTGAGATTAGCTCCACGCGGTGAGATCTGGCGACGTTCTGATGGAACGTTAAACGGTGGAGGGCGGGACATCGAAATGAAAACAATAACAAGCATTAGAGGCTGGAAAACTAATTTTGAAATTAAAATATCTCTGAACTACTGTTATTTGTTAAACAATTATTGGAAAAGAACATGTTTTATTAACGCCTGTGGACAGATTAGGGCCCTTTAATGATGACAGATTAGGGCCCTTTAATGATGACTCGACATGACAATCTTACATATGACTACTGTAAACACTGCTTTAACCTTGTGCTCTCTTCTTTCCCCCAGGCCCCACATGGTGACGGATAACATGGGCATCCGGAACGAGACCTTCATGAAGATCGCAGCCGTCGGGACCTGGATGGGAGACTTCGTCACCGCCTGGATGGTGAGAGAGTGAGATCCTGCCACATTTTACACTTCATCCACGGGTGTTACAACAGACTCGTGGTTTTCCCAGTCATCGCTCTCCAAAGTTATGTTAAAGTTGTTCATGATGTGATTCTTCTGCTTGGAAACTCGTGAGCTGCTGTTGAACTCGGAGAGTTTGTTCAAGCTGGAGATGTCAAAAATCGTATTACTTATTTAAACTACACAACTATCTATTTATCTAATCTCAGACTCTCCGACTTCATCTTCTGCATTTAAAAATATTGATTTTTCTGCTAGGCTTTTTTTAGCAATACGTTTTCTCATTTCATTTAAAAATATCTTTGAGGATTCTCCACAAGAAAACCTTCAATTGTTTAAATGAAAGACTTAAAAAGCACCCGGAATGCAAATGATTTTTGTTAGTTCAGCAGTTTAACGCCCAAACAGAATACCATCAAAACAAAAAGCAGTTCATTACTATACATTTGTGTGTAGTCCTAAATCACAACAACAGCTGTCTCGGAGGTTTGCAAAGTTGCCGATTCGCCAACACAGATCAGAGAATCAAACGGTTCAAAGACAGGAAATGCAAACGGCGGTCATCAGGCCCCTCCTAAAAAAGAGGAGTCTGGAAGCCCTGGCACTCAAAAATTATCGGCCCATTTCAAATCTGCCTTTCATGGGAAAAATTCTAGAAAAAGTTGCCTATAAACAACTTACAGAATTTTTAATAATCAATAACGCTTATGATATGTTCCAGTCAGGGTTTAGACCCCACCACAGCACTGAGACCGCGCTAATAAAGGTAACAAATGACATCAAACTAAACACTGACGCAGGAAAAGTCTCAGTCCTTTTTCTGTTAGATTTAAGTGCTGCTTTTGACACTATTGATCATGGCATCCTCATTCAGAGACTTGAGGACTGGGTTGGTGTTGCTGGCACCGCCCTAAGCTGGTTTAGGTCCTATTTACAAGACAGAAAGTTTTTTGTGGAGATCGAAAACTGTACCTCAGACCACTTGGCCCTGGCCTGCGGAGTGCCACAGGGGTCAATCCTGGGTCCTCTTCTGTTTAATATTTACATGTTGCCTCTAGGTCAGTTGATTCACAGTAATAATGTCTCTTATCACAATTACGCTGACGATACTCAGGTCTATGTGTCCCTGACAGCAGGAGAGCATGAACCAGTGGACTCGCTCCTTCACTGTGTCCAGCAAATCGGTGATTGGATGCAAAATAACTTTCTCCAACTAAACACCGACAAAACTGAAATAATTGTTTTCGGACCCCAGAAACAAAGAGAGAGCGTTATTTGTCACCTCCAGGCTCTCTCTCTACAACCCTCAAATCAGGTCAGAAATCTAGGAGTGATAATGGACTCAGACTTAAATTTCAAAAGCCACATAAAATCTGTAACATCAGCAGCTTATTACCACCTAAAAAACATTGCTAAAATTAAAAACATAGTGTCTAAGGCAGACTTGGAGACTCTTATACACGCTTTTGTCTCCAGTCGGTTAGACTATTGCAATGGCTTGTTCACAGGTCTCTCCAAACAGGCTGTAAAACAGCTGCAGTACATTCAACATGCAGCAGCTCGAGTCCTGACCAGAACTAGGAAGTACGACCACATTAGTCCAGTTCTCAGGTCTCTGCACTGGCTTCCTGTTCCTCAGAGAATAGACTTCAAAGCAGCTTTACTTGTGTACAAGTCTCTCCATGGTCTCGCGCCAAGGTACATCCATGACATGTTTGTGCCATATGAACCGACCCGGACTCTGAGGAGCACAGGGACTGGACTCCTGTTAGTGCCCAGAGTCGGTACTAGACATGGGCAAACTGCATTTCAGATTCATGCGGCTAGAGTCTGGAACAGTCTTCCTGAGAATGTGAGACAGGCGTCTACTCTGGCATCTTTTAAATCTAGGCTCAAAACAATTCTGTTTAGCTGCGCATATACAACTGAATGATTTTATCTTTTCATCTTTGTTTTTATCTTTAATCTTTTTAATGCACTGTGACTATTTATGATTTTAGTCCCATCTGTGATTTTAATGTTTAAAGGTTTTTAATTTTTGTGATTTTATTTTTAATGTTTTTAATATATCTTGTGCTCTTAATGTGTTTGATTTATGCATGATGTGATAGGGGATGTGAAGCGCTTTGCGTTGCCTTGTGTAGGAAAGGCGCTCTACAAATAAACGTTGATTGATTGATTGAATGATGAACACTAATTAACTAACCCCTAATCCAATGAATGAGTACATTAACAAAAAACTACAATTGGTCACATTCCAGGATTATAATTATGTTTGTATCCATTCATTTCACAAAGACGGTGTTTCAGGTTAGAGAACAAACGTAAACAACAACGGTGGCGGGTCAACTAATGCTTCGTGTTCTTCGCTAACGAACGAGGATTCTACTCCTTCGTCCAAACAAAACCACGCAAAGCTCTAGTTTCAGTTTCCATTTTCGCTGCTTCTGTTAAATGCAGAATGATGTTGGTTCTTTCCCGTCATTGCGGCGGTTTGAGGAGGATGTTGTTGAGGAAGTGGTTCTACTGCTGGGGGTCGAGTGTGTCGTGTTGTAAAGTTCCACTGCCCCCTACTGGCAGAGCACTATAACTACATCGTTTTGCGTCGTTGTGTAGACACTGTGCACTTCGAAGACAAAACCTCGCTCTAAACCGGACCTAACTGCTAATTTACACATCACGCGTTACAGCACGTACGCGTTGTACGCGCAGCAGACGCGCGTAACTTTTTTCCATGTTAACCTATGATGATATTTACACTTCTAGCATTATACGCGCGTATGACGGACGTATGACGCGAAGCTGCGCTCTAATTTAGGATGGATTTCTAATTTTGTGCGCGCACCAACGCGTCTCCCATTGAAATCTCATGTAAAACATGATTTTTCTAGCGGTCCTTGGCTTTAGATCACATCTGCACGCACACTGCACTTGTGTCTAAACATCAGCAGGAGGAGCAGCAGGTTTTACAGTGATTCTGGACATTGTTTTTTTTCTTTCATAGAGTCTCGCGTCTGGCCAAACCAGCGCACAGAGACCATGAAGACAAACACATGCATGTGATTTGTGTTGCTCTACATCAGTCCTCTGTACTGTCCTCTACACTGCTCCATAGACTACACAGGGACAGCATCAGAAGACGCGGAGAGCGCGCAGTAAACGCGTACGTGCTGTTTACGCCTACTGTGTAAATTCCCCGTAAGACGTTCAGGAAACAGTTAAGTACATGTAACTTCAATAATTCAACAGAAAGAGAGTTATATCTTTTATCTTGCTGAACATGTGGGTTTTCTGCACAAATAGTAATTAGTGTTGAAGGTTTAATGACATAAAACAGAACACAGCAGTCAAACTCAGGCTAAACGTCTAAACCTGGGTCTAAACAAAGGATGATGGCAGAAAGACCAGGTTTCAAAGGGACTGTCCTCCTTATAGTAGTGTCCCAGTATAGTACCATTCATGCAGAAGCAACCCAGGGCGGTTAACACTGGCAGAACATTGGGGAACAATAACACATTTTAGGAATAAAAACATACACAGCTGCATAGTCCATCTATCTCCAAGTTATTCCAAGACAAGAATACAGTGTTATCTAAGCACTGGTCTCATAGTAATGTCCCGGTATACATTCAAATGCATGTAAAACCACAGGAATATGAGCAGGTACATCAAGAGGTAATAGTAACAATGGCAGTAGTGCTTCGAACGTCCTTGAGGCCCAGTCCTGTGTGAGAAATGTGAGCAGGTCTTGGTAAATCCTCTGCGTCTCATAACAGAGGATTTCCATGTTCATTCGTCAACATAAGAGTCGCCTGCTCCTCCTCTGGGACCTCCTTCTGCACCTGTAGCTCCCTGCGTCTGTGCACCAAGGAGCAGATGAACCCCTCCAACCACAGATATTAGTATTCTCCATCACACTTTCAGAGGCAGAGGTAGAAGACAGGAAATGCACTTGTCCAGCCCAAAGCAGGATCAGGGCCAAGAGATGCAGTATAGATGGAACTGTGAATGTCTTGTTTTGGGCTCCACATTTATTTCAGAGAGAAAATACAATACCACAGGTTAAAATAGTTCCCAGTTTGTGTTGGATCTCCGTAGAAAGACTGATAGTTGCTGAGTGTGACATCATTTCTGACTTCTAAGTTCCAATCTGCGGCTAATTAACAACTTTTTTAAATCATTGAATGTTTTGTTCTTATTGATTATTCAATCTGAAGAGACCAAAGACACAATTAATACAATAACATTATTTATTTATTTGGCGCATTGACCCCGGCAGTGATGACATCGATTGCAGCTGAATATGATTTCCCGGGGTCAAGCACTGGTGGTGGCTAGAGTAATGGTGTGAACGGGGCGTAGCGGAGCAGGAGACAGACCAGGAGCCTAGAGCTGGAGCCTATAGAGTGGGAGCCAGGGCAGGAGCCTAGAGCTGGAGCCTAGTGAGTGGGAGCCAGGGCAGGAGCCTAGCGCAGGAGCCAGAACAGAGGGGGTGCTGGGGAGGTGGTGGGTGTTAAGAACTCCAGGAAGCGCTGATTGTCAGGAAGTGGCTGCCTTTTAAATTGCCCGCTTTGCAGTCAGAGGGTTGGCAGGAGGCTGGCCGGGCTGAGTGATTGGCAGATGCTCGGGGCTGGCAGAGCTGTGTGATTGGTTGGCTTGGAAGGGGGAATCTGCACTCGGTCTTTCAGTCTGAATCTGCGCCTTCAGCTTCATAAAGTTGACATAAACCCTAGTACACTAAAGCTAACCCTACACAACTTAAAACATTCTATTTTAAGTCCACTCCAATTGAAGTTAAATGAGATTATCAAATGTAATTACACATTCAGACCAAATGTACTTCGATCTGTTAGACTTTCTCACAACCTTTTGCTTTTGGCACAACCAACATGAGCTGTTGATGAACGGGAACATTTACGAACCTCCACTTTAATTTAGCAAGTTTAGTTTAGTTTCGAGAGGAGACACTGACACTTCCGCGGTGTTTCTGCATGCACAGGTTATGCACAGGTTATGCAAAGACACGCACACCACATGCAGAGAATAGTCCTGTGTGTGTATGTTCTTATATGACCACATTACAACTAACCCTAATCTGCTAACCCTAACCCTAATACATTACAACTAACCCTAATCTGCTAACCCTAACCCTAATACACTAAAGCTAACCCTAATACACTAACACTGTTTTATCACAAGTTAGACTCATGGATCTGTAAAAATATATTGGGTATTAGATATACCCTAGATATTATTATAGACATACCCTAGTAATACCCTATCCAGATATCTAGGTATCTGGATAGGGTATTATTAGGTTCTGCAGACTAAACAAGACTAAAGTCACGGGGGCTACACAGCAATCTTTCCAATAGAACTCAATGTAAACTAAAACAGCTCGACCTCAGCTGACTGAGAACCTGACAGAGAACCTACAGCTTTCATAAAGGAGGATTTTGTGGGGATTTTAGTGTAACTTTTTTCTTCTTTCATCCTTGAGTTTCTATAAATCCACACTTTAGTGCCACAAACTCTGCTCAATTTTCTCCCGCTTTAACTCTGCTCTGATCAGCAGTGTCTGATTGGTCAGGACAAGCACAAGCCTTTGATTTGAATAGGGCGCCATCTTGGATCGCCGGGGCTTGGTTAGACTTCTCAAACATTGATAAATCTATGACTCACCTAATTTCCTGAGACGACATAGTTATAAAACTGGTGGATAATTGCTTTTCTTATTTGACCCTGAATCAGAGCAGAAACTCAACCATCCATACAAACAAATTCATACTTCTAATAGTTAATAACAATATTTATAAAGTCACTCTCTCGCTCTACCTGCACAAACCAACAAACTTCGTGTTACCTAAACGAAGTCAAAAAGTATGAAAGTTACACAACTCGAGTAACCTACCAAAAACTCGTTAGTTACTAAAGGCAAAAATGACTGTCCTTGGGTTTTCATATTGATTTCAACGAGCTCCCCATAAATAGTGACCACATAGGTCCCAGCAGCAGAGAAGGTGAAGCTGGATAAGTGAAAAATCAAGAAAAATACAGATTTAAAAACACATAACAACTGTTTCAGAGACACTTAGGACTTGCTGCCGTTTCCAGTGCATTCAACAGTACAGGAGGAGGAGGAAGATTGCACCTCAGAATCTTCCTCTTCGCCTCCACATCCAGACTCTCTCATCGACCTCTTCTTCACCACTTCATTTCCATGGTCTTTACGTTACAGCCTTGAATGCATCCAATCACACTGAGTATTAATCGCCGCTAAAGACGACAAGCAGCAAAAACCTCATCAATATTTGAACAAGACAATTTTATCTCCGTTGCTCATGAAAAATAGATCACGGATTAGCTGCAGTGTGAGATGTTTATAATAATTGTTTAACTAGAGGCGACTGGTGATAAACAGAATGTGATGGATGTATTGTTTAATCCAATTGGGCAAAGACACAGCTGCATGTGTGCAAACATGCGGTGGAGGAGTGGAGCAGCTTTGAACCAGAAGTCAATGAACTTGTGTGTTTTATGAAGCATTGGATTAAAATGGCCGCTGGGTGAACGACATGTAACACTTGTTTTAACCTTGCACAGAAAATTGCTACAAAACCTATAAACGCGATGAGTTTCTATGAGTCCGTGAATCTCATTGAACAGCTGAGTCCTGAGTAGAGTAGAGTAGAGTAGAGGAGGGTAGAGTAGAGTAGAGTAGAGTAGAGTAGAGTAGAGTAGAGTAGAGTAGAGTAGAGTAGATGAGGGCCAAGCAGCTTATGATCCTGGTGTAATATCTTTTCAAATCCAGATATGAGCCATACGGTTTGACCAATCAGATGCCTTCATTCGCGGGCGAAAATCCAGCTTGCCTTACCAACCTCGGTCAGTTAGAACTTTTAAGTACTAGCTCGGCTTGAAAGATGGACCTAGGGCTGGTGGAAACAGGACTTCTGGTCAAGATGTCCTGTTTCAAGATGCGTTCAACCTCCAGTTGAACGCATCCAAAACATGTGAACTGGTCTACGACTTCAGTCGCAATAGTTCTCATTTGCCTGTCGTAATCGACAACTCCCAGGTGCAGATCGTAGAGGAGTGCAGGTTTCTGGGTTTAACTCAAAAAAACACTGACCGAGTCGTTAAGAAAGCTCGTCAGCGTCTCTACTTTCTGCGTAAACTTAGAGAATTTACCACTAACTCTAAGATTGTGCTTAACTTTTATCGCTGCACCATTGAGAGTTTACTTGTTGGTTCTGTGTCTGTGTGGTTTGGAAACATCACAGATAAAGAAAAGAGAGCTTTAAACAAGGTGCTCCGCTCTGTAAAGAGGACCGTGGGCTGTGAGCTTCCTGTTCTGGAGGTTCTTTATAAATCCAGACTTTTAAACAAAGCTCTTAGGATTGTTAATGACTCTTCTGGCCACCCTGGGAAAGCCATGTTCCAGCTTCTTCCCTCTGGCAGAAGATGTCGCTCTCTGAGATGCAGGACATCTCGTTACGCTAACAGTTTTTATCCACAGGCTGTTATCAGTGTGAACAGAGCACTTTAATGATTTGCACTTGTTTTGAAACTGTTTTAGTCGATCCATTTCACAGTGACATTTGTTTACTGTTTTATTTGTTTTATTTCTGTCTTTTAATGTTGTTTTATGTCTGTATTTGTCTGTGCACACTGGAGACTTTTTGCTAATGTATTCCAATGTGGTGTTTTTACTGCAAATGGCAATAAATAAACTGAACTGAACTGTATATCATGTTTGTAGATTATGTACAACTACAGTACTTCTTGTCAAAAAGTCATGTAATTGGGGCTTGGGGCTAAACACTCTGCCGCCGACTGTGCCTTTACACTCTGAAGGAACCACCTAAAGTAAAGCGTTTTGTGAGCATAGTGATCGGTTTGGTCTGTTGAGAAGCAGATAGTTTAGGGTCATCCATGGTTGTAGGTCTTTTATGCAGCACTGAGTCGTGTGTCTTGGCCTCCTCTCTCTCTCTCATGTGTTGTGTCCTGGATGTGTCGACAGGTGACAGATATGATGCTGCAGGACACTCACTATCCAGACTGGGGCCAAACGGCGAGACGCTTCTGGAAAAAAGGCAACAACCGCATCGTCCTCTTCTGGTAAGTCCGTAAATGTGAATGTGTCTTTCCCAGACTCTGGTGAGACATGCCCAGGACACCGGGATGTGCTGGTCTGACTCAAAAAGGTTTATTCAAGCTGCTTTTTTTTCACCCGCAACTTGGTAAAATTGAAAACAAATCCAAAGGCCATTTGTGATCAAAGCAGCAATGAATATAAAATAGGGCTGGGCGATAAAACGGTGACGATATATTTTGCGAGAGACATGTGTTCGATGTCAATAATAAATGGTGTCAATAGAAACTTCGATCGTTTAACTTAACTCTGTTAGAAAAAAACAAGAAGAAAAGCCGAGTCAGAAGCGCACAGCATTCTGGTGGACGTATGGCAGAGGCTTCTCAACTTATAATGGCCGAGCATGAACTGCAAGGCATTCTGGGAAATGCATAAAACAAAAACTGCAACAACAGGAACATATGCCTCCAGCCTGAGTTCTTATTCCCCGTGACTGTAATGGAGTTCTGCTAACATGTTTGCCAACACGACAAATGTATTCATTTTAGGGCTGTCAAACGATTTAATTTTTTTTAGTTGATTAATCGCACAGTATTGGTGAGTTAACTCACGATTAATCACATTTTTAACATTCTATTTTAAGTCCACTCCAATTGAAGTTAAATGAGATTATCAAATGTAATTACACATTCAGACCAAATGTACTTCGATCTGTTAGACTTTCTCACAACCTTTTGCTTTTGGCACAACCAACATGAGCTGTTGATGAACGGGAACATTTACGAACCTCCACTTTAATTTAGCAAGTTTAGTTTAGCTTCGAGAGGAGACACTGACACTTCCGCGGTGTTTCTGCATGCACAGGTTATGCACAGGTTATGCAAAGACACGCACACCACATGCAGAGAATAGTCCTGTGTGTGTATGTTCTTATATGACCACATTACCGCGGCGCCGTTCACCGTGTTGTTGTTAGTGGCTGTGAGCCGCTAACAACAACCAGAGCGGCCGCAGCTGCCCCCGGGGTGTGCCCCGGGAGGCGGACTTCAGTTCATACAGCAAACAACAGCAAGTATTCTTTTAAAAACTTGAATTCCCACCTACCTGCTCTGTCTCCATCTCACACACGCATGTGTCCGCGGCATTCTGAGTGATATAATGGATAAATGGGCGGGTCATTCGGACATGCGTTAATGCAGGTTTTTTTTTAATGCGTTAATGAAAACTGTAATTAACGTGAGTTAACGCAATAATTTTGACAGCCCTTATTTATTTAGGTATTTATATATACTTAAGAATAAGTATCAATAATTATCCATTTTGTCCAATATCCATCATTTATATTGTGATTTCAGCCACATCGCTCAGCCCTAATTCAAAACTTTGAAAGCTGTTTTGTGTCTCCAAATAAGTTCCGTGTCCCTGTATAAAGGGTAATAGTATATATTACACATGTATGAACAGCTTCTGTCTTGGCGTGAGCCGAGGCTGGAGTGTGTGTAATGTATTCCTGAGAGGCCTGTGTGTCTGCGGCTGATCCATGGTCAATACATGTGTTAATCTTCCCTCACTCACTGTCGCACCTTTAATTAGAGCGACAGGGAAAAGGAATCAATGAACACCGCGAGGTCAGAGCTTTTAGAGAGAGCGACCACTCTTAAATAACGGCTAAACACGCGGAAGAAGAAGAGGCTGAAGAGGCGTGTGCTTACAGCAGCTGTGGTCTGCATTATTTAGTATTTGTAAGAAGATCCTCAGGGAAAGACCGGAGTCAATATTGATCATTATTGTTTTTATTTTAATCCACTGCTTTTGACCTGATTGGCTTTGTTTAGCCCTTGTTTTTGGTCCGGATGCTAATGTAGAGCTGGTTTATTGTCTATCCAGTATAAACACGTATTTTCCGGGCTATAAGCCGCACTTGATTATAAGCAACAAGCTCCAATTTGTAGAAATAAATTTTTTTTTCGTACAAGCCGCACCTGTCGCACATTGTAATATAAAAAATGTGGCTCAAAAATGTCCATCATGTGTCGAGCAGAAAGATCTACTGCTCTCTGTTCACTTCATGTTTCTACAGAGAACCACAAAACTGTTTATCATATGAGATATTTACAGATATTATTAGTGAGGACTTTTAAACTTTATTTAATCAAGTTTAGTCCTAGTTTAGTCCTGGTTTAGTCCTGGTTTAGTCCTAGTTTATTTCTGGTTTAGTCCTGGTTTAGTCCTAGTTTAGTCCTGGTTTAGACCTGGTTTAATCCTGGTTTAGTCCTGGTTTAGTCCTAGTTTAGTCCTGGTTTAGTCCTGGTTTATGTCTGGTTTAGTCCTGGTTTAGTCCTGGTTTACTTCTGGTTTAGTCCTGGTTTAGTCCTAGTTTAGTCCTGGTTTAGACCTGGTTTAGTCCTGGGTTTGTCCTGGTTTAGTCCTGGTTTAGTCCTGGTTTAGTCCTGGTTTACTTCTGGTTTAGTCCTGGTTTAGTCCTGGTTTAGTCCTAGTTTAGTCCTGGTTTAGACCTGGTTTAGTCCTGGTTTAGTCCTGGTTTAGTCCTAGTTTAGTCCTGGTTTAGTCCTGGTTTACTTCTGGTTTAGTCCCGGTTTAGTCCTGGTTTACTTCTGGTTTAGTCCTGGTTTAGTCCTGGTTTACTTCTGGTTTAGTCCTGGTTTAGTCCAGGTTTAGTCCTGGTTTACTTCTGGTTTAGTCCTGGTTTAGTCCTGGTTTACTTCTGGTTTAGTCCTGGTTTAGTCCCGGTTCAGTCCTGGTTTACTTCTGGTTTAGTCCTGGTTTAGTCCTGGTTTACTTCTGGTTTAGTTCTGGTTTAGACCTGATTTGTGGTACTCTGCTGTTTTTATGGAGATTCTTAACAGGATAATGTTGTAGAAAAGATGTGATATTTGCTGTTTCTGTTTCATGCAGAATATTGTGAAGCCTTTTAGAATCAGCTCATAATAATTCAATATATTAATGGTTTCTACCAGAAACTTCTACATGGTTTTAAATATGGTGCCAACGTCAGAAACATTTCTACTGTTCAGAAAATGAGTTATTTACTTCTACTCTACCCTACCCTACTCTACTCTACTCTACTCTACTCTACTCTACCGTACTCTACTCTACCCTACTCTACTCTACTCTACTCTACTCTACTCTACTCTACTCTACTCTACTCTACTCTACTCTACTCTACTCTACCCTACTCTACTCTACTCTACCGTACTCTACTCTACCCTACTCTACTCTACTCTACTCTACTCTACTCTACTCTACTCTACTCTACCCTACTCTACTCTACTCTACTCTACTCTACTCTACTCTACTCTACTCTACTCTACTCTACTCTACTCTACCCTACTCTACTCTACTCTACCCTACTCTACTCTACTCTACTCTACTCTACCCTACTCTACTCTACTCTACTCTACTCTACTCTACCCGACTCGACTCGACTCGACTCGTTTAGTATCTGGTACCATATGCTAGGAACCTACTCACAAAAAACCAGTATTTGGGGAAATTCCTTGGTAACCATGGCTTCCAGCAGCACTCTGACCAATCACTGTCAGTTAGAACACTTTAGTACCAGCTCTGCCTGGATAGAACCAGGACCAAGAGGGACTAAAGAGGGACCTGGTACTGGTTAAACAGGACCAATGGCATCAGAGTTGATGGTAGCAGAGTTGATGGTAGCAGAGTTGATACGATGGTAGCAGAGTTGATACGATGGTAGCAATTTGATACGATGGTGCCAGAGTTGATGGTCCTGTAGATGTTCAGATGCGTTTCCACAGACCAGGGTCCGGTCCCCATGGTCCGGTCCCCATGGTCCTCTCTCGCCGCTGCACTCAGAGCTGTCAGTCAGGGCGGACATCAGAGGTAGTTGGTCTCCTGTGGTGCATTTAAGGACCTCTGGGAAAAACGAAGGACGAGAGAGAAGACCGGAGCTGACGTCCGCGCACTCTTCACAGGCTTAACCCAGATACATTATTTAACCGAGGCTTTGTAGGAGTGCTCTGGGGTTTGTCAGACACAACTTTAAATGCCTCCTCTACACCTGCCTCCTCTACACCTGATCTAGCATACAATAATCATTCCAATAAGAGTCCCAGTAGGAGGCCTATCCCTGTGCTCCTCAGAGTCCCAGCAGGAGGCCAGTCTCTGTGCTCCTCAGAGTCCCAGTAGGAGGCCAGTCCCTGTGCTCCTCAGAGTCCCAGCAGGAGTCCAGTCCCTGTGCTCCTCAGAGTCCCAGCAGGAGGCCAGTCCCTGTGCTCCTCAGAGTCCCAGCAGGAGGCCAGTCCCTGTGCTCCTCAGCCATGGAGACTTGGAACAAACAGAGCTGCTTCAAAGTCTCTTCTCTGAACCACAGGTGCAGAGACCTGAGACCAGGACTAATACATACAGTTTAGTGCTTTTAGTCAGCTGTCAGACAAAGGGGAGACTGGCAGAAGCAAAGCGGCCAATCTGCATCGCTCTGATTGTTCTCCTGCTGCAGGTGGGATCATAACCTCTGTCATGAAATAATCTCCTCGCCGTTGGGTCAGACCAAACCAAGAACTTCATTATAGCAGCTCCGGAATCAGACAGAAATTGGACAAAAACTCGACTGTGCAGATCATTTCTGTCTCATCCATCACTGTCTGAGAAAGCAGCTTCAGCAGTGGATGTTGGTGACAGACGAGAAGCAAATTATGACGAAATTATGACTTTGGGAAACACCAGGAAGATAATGACAAACTTAAAACATGTCAGTTTAAAGCTAGGGTGCGTAACTTTCTAGCCTGCTCTTACCACACCATCATACTAATTTCATTTCGTTTTAGTTTTAGTTTTGCTCCATTGAGCTCCGTTAACAGGTGGGAGGGTTAACTCTTATCCAATGCGGCCGAGTGGGTGAGGCATTTAGGCTAGCTTTAGCATTTAGCCTAGCCACTAACGGAGCCCATGGGGAGTAGAGCCATAACATCTTTGCAACAATGACATTTGCTAAACATTCCTCTTGCTCCGGCTTCAGTTTCTTGACATTTGGAGCCGAACCAGAATGGATAACTTTACTATCGCATTCGCCGCCAAATAACAACCAGCCAATTGGAGCCAAACTGCAGCCACTAGGATCAGACCCAGAATGTAGAAAATGAAAGTTGACCGGAGTTTACGGATGGCTAAGGCCAGGCTAGTAACTTTTAAACCACAATATAATATAATATCAAATCCACATGATTAGCTCTTTGAAGTGTTTGGTTCTACAGCTATTGTTTACTCCACAACCAAGTTAATATTCGCCTTTAGAAGGAGTTGCTTTGATTAAGGTTTGGACTTTTGGAAAGGTATGTAAAGGACAGGGTTTGTGTTAAAGGTCTGATACTTAAAGTTGCTGTATATAGGAGGATTTTCCCAAATTTTAAGTAAGATTTCTCCACTTTGAAAAAAACTCTCTATTCTTATTGGACGAGCACGAATCACCAGAATGATTGACAATTAAGAGGAGCAATAGACTTGATGATCCACCCTGAAGTATAAAACCCTCCTATATAGCTCCACATGCCTGTATTTATGGCCTCTGTCACATCTTCAGATCAGCTTTCAGTCAAAAAAGTCTGAATCTCTAAAACAAAATGTCCATATAATGAAGTTGGCGTCAGCTTTTGTTCAAATCTGCCTCTTCCGCATTAAGGCTAACACTAAGTTGATGTCACACGCTGTCAGTCCACTCCTATTGTAATGTCTATGATTGAGACCAGGACTAAACCAGGACTAGCCTGGTCTTAGCCATCCCTTATCCATCCGCACACTCCGCTCTATCATCATTTCCTGCATGTAGCGTCTGGGTCTGGTCCCTGTGTCAGCGATTACAATCGGTTGAATTTCGACCAACCATTCAGAGATCCGCGGAAGGCAGGTGTTTTATTTTGTTGTGGGTGATGTCAAGAGTTTGCGTCAAACAGGCAGGTTGTTGTTTGGCAATGACGAAAAAGTAATCCGGTTCTGGTTCTATCAAGAAATTGAAGCCAGAGCAAGAGGAATGTTTAGCAAATGTAATCACTGGAAAAATTGTGGCGCTACTCCCCACAGGCTCCGTTAGCGGCAAAGCAGATGGCTAAAGCTGTTAAACAGGCCCACCTGTTAACGGAGTCAATGGAGCACCTCCAGACCTTAGTACGAAATGTAATTTGTACTATGGTGTGGTACGGCCAGACTCGACCAGGACTAGAGAAGGACCAGAACTTATCATAGCTGTGTGTCTATGGTTATTTGTCTGCTCTATATCAGACACTTGTAAGATAGCAACGTTGTGACCTGAAAAAGAACCAAGTAACCTTATTCTACAAAGACGACAAGACAAACCTTCCTTAACAATTTCAAATGTGGATCTAGTTTTTGATACACACCAGTCCCTCGTCTTTCTCACAGACGTCGTCCAACATCCAGCATATTCACCTTGATATTTCTGGATTGATTTCTTCACCTGAGATTAGGATTCCGGGTGCGTGTGGGTGTGTCACTGTTGCCTCTGTCCTGGCGTTATTGATGGAGCGTCTCGAGGAGTCACGATCAATGCCAGATCTGACGAGCCTTTGTGTGAAATTTCTGCTTTTGAAATGTGATTGATATGTGTTCTGTGCGTACATGGTGTCAGTGCGGCGGCGGCGGCGGCGGCGGCGGCGTTGGTGAGATATGAGAGGGCAGAGCCAGGAGCCAGCCGAGCGCAGAGAAGGGAAAAAAACTCTTATGTTGACTAATAAAAGCCATCAGTGTTTGAGTTATTGAAGGAGGAGATGAGCTGGTTCCCATCTGTTTGTGCACTGGACCAATGCAAGAGAATGCAGGGTTCACCAGCGACAGGGAAAGAGCAGAATGTAGATCTCGGCTCGTCTCTAAAGAAGTCCCCACATATTACATACAACAGACTTTGTAGCTGTATTAGATTGTATTGTACCAGATTTTGAGATTATTCTCTTTCTATCTGTTTGCTCTTTTTCTGTCGGAGTCATTTAATGTTGATATATTTGTAGGGCACAGCCAGAAGGTCCTGGATTCCACCTCCAGACAGGGCCTTTCTGTGTTGAGATGACGCATGTTCTCCCTGTGTCTGCTCAGGTTTCCTCCGTGTGCTCCGGTTTTCCCCTCCTCTAAAAACATGTACTATAGAACCCACTCCTCTCCCCTCTCTCTGGGGCCAGAACTCATGTGAAAAAGAGAGTTTCCTGGTTAAATAAAGGTCAATAAACACTACTGAGACTTCTTGCCGATCCTTGTGGGAGATTGAAGGTGGGAGATGTGGCTTTCTCTCTTAATGCTCCTTGTAAATGGAGCGCTCTGCCAGATGATTTTGGTTGGAGCACTGATAAAATGTGCTCCAACGCCTAATGAAACTAAAGACTACTGGTAGAAATTAAATCTTTGCTATAACCTGGTACATCTCTCCAGTGTATAATTGTACACTGTCCTTGTTCAAATAAATAAATGCATGCTCTGCTTTCCCCTGCCACATTCCATCCAACACCGTATCTAAAACACATGGGTACTTTCTCATTTCTTAATAAATTACAATGAATAAAAAAAATTGTTGTCCACGTGACCCATATGACTCCACAGACGGGTGCATTTAAGCCACTTGCTCACGAAGGTCCAGGTTTGCCAAAAAGCACCACGGAGAAGCCACCAACAGACGATTGGAATAACAAATGTTGCGAGATTTAATGGCACCGTGCAACGCTTCTAAGTATGTACCCTGAAGACGCTGTAGGGCACTCTACATGTTACAAACACAGTCCCTGTACAAGAAATAGTTCATGAATGGGGTTTTGGGAACGGCGAAACAGCCAACACGGAACTGGCCGTGCACATTCTCACTGTCGTCGTCTTTTTGGTGATTTGTTTTCGTTTCTCTACTTTATGTGTTTTTATAGACTGTATATATTAACGGACATAGTCACGCCTATCTCTGCCGTTCTAACTAATGGGCCAAAAATTGGACTTTCATGGAGTGATTCAAAATGGCCGCGGGGGCTGGAAAATGTGAAAAAACGCACCTGCACATGCGTCAGCTGCACGAGCTCCATTCATTTAAACGAGCGACTAAACTAGACTGGTCCAGAACACTCCCTCAGCATTGACACACATGAGGAATGGCGCTTTGGGGCAAGAGCCAACTTTTGGACCATCCTGTAAAGACGTTTTTGAGAGGTCTGCCGATGCTATATGTTAGCATTGGCTAGTTCTTCTTCCGGGTCCACCCCCATAGGCCCGGGGTGGTATTGCAGCATGTCAGCCCACGTCATTTTGGCAAATTTTGAGCCGGGACCCGCCCCCACTGGTTTTTACTCTCTTCCAGTCAGTCTTTAGATCACTTTGTTAATTCAATCAAAATGATAAATGCTCCTGCCTGTCTCCACCCTGCCTTAGTGCCTTTTACTGTAAGACCCAGATCAAAAACCTTCACTGAGTCTTCCTGGTGTCTAACCCTCAGGTCGGTGTTGATCTCGCTGACCTCGGTGGTGGTCCTGGTCATCAGCACAGACTGGATCAGCTGGGACAACCTGAACAGAGGCTTCCTGCCCAGTGACGAGGTGTCGCGGGCTTTCCTGGCCTCCTTCATCCTGGTGTTCGACCTCCTCATCGTCATGCAGGTACACAGGCCTCACTACGATACACACACAATCATTCAGTCTGCTACACGCTGAGAGTAAACAGATATTTGACAGGATATGATCAAAACTTCAATTCAATTCAATGTGTGTATCACCCTAAATCACAACAGCAGTCAAACAGATCAGAGAATCAAACAGTTAAAAGACAGGAAAGGCAATAATTACACACACAGAGAAGCCATTGGTCCGAGAAATTTTAATAAATGTTCCGGATCATCACTGTCCTTAGACCCTGTAGATCCAGGACTGAGGCTGTAGATCCAGGACTGAGGCTGTAGATCCAGGACTGAGGCTGTAGATCCAGGACTAAGGCTGTAGATCCAGGACTGAGGCTGTAGACCCAGGACTGAGGCTGTAGACCCAGGACTGAGGCCGTAGATCCAGGACTGAGGCTGTAGATCCAGGACTGAGGCTGTAGACCCAGGACTGAGGCTGTAGATCCAGGACTGAGGCTGTAGATCCAGGACTGAGGCTGTAGATCCAGGACTGAGGCTGTAGACCCAGGACTGAGGCTGTAGACCCAGGGGAGACTAGTTCACGGTTGCAGGTCATCATTACGTCATGAAACAGTCAATGGAACAGTGGGTGAATAGACAACAGCTGAGGATAATGCTGTTACCATACTTCTCCAGCAGGGGGCCCCATATGCATTTTCTGTTTTTCTGTATCATATCTTAATTCTGGCTGTTCCTACACCTGTGAGGAGCTTATGAACATCCGACCCACCGTTCCCATGGACCTATTGCCTGTTTTCTTGGCATCTGCGGCTGATTTAGTTCATGTTCTAGCCAAAAGAGTGTGGGCCCGTAAAAGGGGAAAGGAGGTGTCCTGGTGCAGTGGTAACAACCTGGAGCTGAACGCTCAGAAGACAGTGGAGATGATTGTGGACTTCAGGAAGAGCACTGTCCCCCCGCCCCCACCCTCCGTGATGGACTCCCCCATCACCTGTGGAGTCCTTCCGTTTCCTGGGCACCACCATCACCCAGAACCTCAAGTGGGAGCCGACCATCAGCTCCCTCATCAAGAAGGCCCAGCAGAGGATGTACTTCCTGCGGCAGCTCAGGAAAGCCAAGCTGCAGCTCTACACGGCCATCATCGAGTCCATCCTCACCTCCTCCATCACCGTGTGGTTCGCTGGAGCCACAGTCAGGGACAAACAGAGACTACAGTGCATTGTGCGCTCTGCAGAGGAAGTGATCGGCCGCAGCCTTCCATCGCTGCAGGACCTGTACGTCGCCCGAGCTCGAGGCCGGGCTGGTCGTATCACAGCCGACCCCTCTCACCCTGCACATGGACTATTCCAACCACTCCCCTCAGGCAGGAGGCTGCGGTCCATCAGGACTAGAACCTCCCGCCACAAGAACAGTTTCTTCCCCTCTGCTGTTGGACTCTTGAACACTTCTTAACCTGTCCCCCGCCCTTTATAAAGTCACTTTACTGCCCATCATACGTCACTTTACTTCACTGTACTGCTGTCACCTTACATTGTGTGCACCATGTGCACTTGTATATTGTAAATAGTAACTGTAACTCTATTTTAAATTTAAATGTTTTTTATTCTTTATTTTTTATTATCTCTTTCTGACTGTTGCACTGAGCCAAAGCAATTTCCAAGTCTGTGACTTCCTGTTACTTACGTGGCAATAAAAATTATCCTGATTCTGATTCTGAATTTCATTGACTCTGATGACTGTTTGGTCGGAGAGGTTTGGGTCAGACGCAGGTTTCACACAGACAATTACACAAATCATGTCCCGAGTCCCCACTCCAGCCCCAGCTCTCACACCTCACCCCCCTCACCGTCTCTCCCCCTCTCCGAGTCCAGGTACTGACCCCTCCCCTGGGACCAATTAAACACCTCACCAGGACGCGTCTGGACTGGATCTCCGCCTCTGTTTTCGGGTTCATTCATCAGCAGGACAGGCCAGTGGACAGGGCTCCACATCTACACACGCTCTTAAACCTGATTCTTGTTCAGTATTTTCAGTCCCCAGTGAAAAAATACAGCTTCACTTTGTATTTACAGTCAGGTCTATGATTTCATCCCAAAACAACAATAACATTTCGGAATCGTTTTTGTCGGATTTTTAGTTTGTTACCTGCAGTTTGGCTCCTGTTGACCTTCATGGAGATGGATAGATTTAAGATTAAGATTAAGAGATTCTGTATTTGTCCCACAGCGGGGAAATGTCAGTGTTGCATCGCCAGTTACAGAACAGTAAGAATGAGAAGCACAAGATAAGTGAATCATAACTCTATATTAAAATTAAAAACATCTCTGACTATAGCATACTACAGATGCATGTAAATCACTGTATTCTAGTCTAGTGCAGAGATATATAGTTGTGTGTTCACATCTGTGCATCTGCAGCATGAGGCTCTGGGACAAAGTGACTAAAGTGACGGTGGACACATGTGGTTCTATATTGCACATTATTTAGAGCGTCACACTGTGTACCATTTTAGCCAAGATGAGAACATAAACATGAAAACTGAGTTCAGCTTGTCCACAAAGGAATTTTTGGCTTTTGAAGTTTTGGCTCACACTGCTGTTGGACACAAACATACAATTCATGTCATTGTATTGGTGGAGATCCCTAAATAACAACATCATTTGTCTGACTTTACAGACAAATCATGGAATCTATCTCAACAGTAACGATAGTCATTGGTTCATAGGGAACGGGAAGACCACTGTAAATGTTAATACATGTCCTGAATCAACACTGTGAGACTGCAGACCCAGGACTGAGGCTGTAGATGCAGGACTGAGGCTGTAGACCCAGGACTGAGGCTGTAGATGCAGGACTGAGGCTGTAGATCCAGGACTGAGGCTGTAGATGCAGGACTGAGGCTGTAGACCCAGGACTGAGGCTGTAGATGCAGGACTGAGGCTGTAGATGCAGGACTGAGGCTGTAGACCCAGGACTGAGGCTATAGACCCAGGACTGAGACTGTAGACCCAGGACTGAGACTGTAGACCCAGGACTGAGGCTATAGACCCAGGACAGAGACTGTAGACCCAGGACTGAGACTGTAGACCCAGGACTGAGGCTGTAGATCCAGGACTGAGGCTGTACAAAAATAGAATAAATGTTGAAATGAACCCTGACTGCAGCTTGTCTTCTGTCCTTGAGTAACATTAATTGAGGTGATTTTTGCAGCCATCTCCTTCGTCCTATTTCCTTGTTTTGCATCCCAGTCTCTTCCACAACCCCATCCCTGATCTCGCCGCTCCTTTGTGCGTTTATTTTGCTAATGATGACTCTAAAAAATGCACTTTCCTCTCTTTTCCACTCACCTAGTTTCTCCAGCGCGGCGTCCTTTCTCCCGACGGGGCAGAATCCATCAATAACAGTGTCGGTGCCTCATGAATATGCAGATGAGGCGCTCTGGCCACAAATACGCACATTTATTGAGGGTTATTGGAGAAATTGAGCCAAAGAGGAGTTTTTCTCTCTGTGTGGAGACAGAAGCCAAATCCACACACAGCATTAATTTGTCTGGTTGGTGGGGATTTAAAATAAGGCTTTAAATGGAACAACTCCATTAAAATTCATTTGATTCATTTGATTGATTCTATTAATCAAATAGACTATTATACTACCATATTAAAATTAACTTTATTGGCCACTGTATTGGGCTTCCCTCAATTGTATGCACAGCTAAACAGTGGAAGCCTGTCTCACATTTTCAAGAAGATTATTCCAGATTTCAGCTGCATGAATCTGAAACGCTGCCTTTCCCATATTCAGTTCTGTGATTAGCAATTACTGAGCTGGCGTTGGCTGAATGACTAATGACCATCAGCTACATTAGCACCATTAGCGGGATTTTTTGACACAACAAACCACACATGTTTGTTTGTTTAATTCGTTTAAAACCAAGATATTTCAACAAACAGACAAAAACAGAACGTCTGATTGGTTTGAAGAGGATTGATTACGATTCTCCGTGCTTTTGTTTCCTCCTTTGTCTCAGTGATACAGACTTGGCTCGTTCGCACCCACAGGAGAAAACATGTTTCTTCTAATCTTGAAATCCTTACACTGGCTCCCTGAACACATTCTGGTGCCGACTTTCAGGGCTCTTCATGAGACCTGAACACATCCAGGGCCTGGTCCTCATGTGTCCAGTCTGAGGTCCTCCACTCAGAGCCTGATTTAAAACCAGAGGAGACAGATCCTTCGAGGCTGTTGCTCCTCACCTTTGGAACGATGCTTCTTCTGTATTTTCAGTTTTGGATCTGACTTGTATGTGTAATATTTTTCTTTTTGAAGTGTTTTTTGATTCTGGCCTGTGAAAATAGCTATTCTTGGGTTTCATATGACGTCAGGGCAGTGGTGCGAATAACAAACTAAGGACAGGACGTGAGGTATCCTGGCGGAGCAGTCTGCCGGGTTTATACACGGAGATATAGTAGAAGAAGAAGCGGTTTATACACGGAGATATATTAGAAGAAGAAGCTGTGTCAAAATGCCATCTTTTTGTGCGGTGTACGTTTGTAGCAACCGCACAAATAGAGAGAAAGACAAGAGTTTGTTCATGTTCCAACTGTGGTCTCATATAAAGGAGGACACTTTGATTTAATCACTGGGATGAGGTGGGAAGTGCATCAAGGCTTTCCCAGATAAGCGCCCCCTGCAGGCCACCCCGATGAAACGCAGCAGTTTCTTCTGTTTTTCTTTTCCAAAATTTCCCCGAAATCAAGACTCTTTTGAGAAATATATACTCCCTTAGACTTGAGTGTCCCCGATTAAGACTGTTACAACCGTACACCGCACAGGAGGAGAGCCTTTGACTCCAAACAGACTTTACATGGTTTTCAATGGGAGCAAAACTGAGCTGTCCCACGTCTGCTCATGCGCCCCCTACAGGCCAGTTTAATGAAACCCAAGAATACTAACAAACTTTACTTACTTACTTATTATGGAAACCAGTCTGGCCTTAATTATGTACTACGGTTTGGATTTACTCCA